GGCTGGGGCTTTGTGACCAGTGCTCACCAGGCCGGCCAGGGTCGGTGGGGTCCGTCCTTCCATCGAGCCCACAGCACTGTGCGGGAGTTCATGGCAGTGTGGTTTGCTCTTCAGAGGATTCGAGTTGCCTGGGGGTCGATGATCCGGCTCCATTCGGACTGCTCCCCAGTGGTTCATTGTCTGAACCGGGGGGGGGGGGTTCGATGAGGTCCTTGGCTCTTTGGCACTGGTCCCTTCGGGTGACTCGTCTGTTGAGTTCTCGGGGTTTGGCTCTCCTGGCAGTTCACGTGCGGGGTGTGTCCAACGTCTTAGCCGACAGCCTGTCTTGTTTCGTTCCCCTCTCCACGAAATGGACGGTCGACACCGACTCCTTCCGTTAGCTTTGCCAGACGTTCGGCTGCCCCGAGGTGAACCTCTTTGCATCAGCGTGGTCGCGGCGCCTTCCCCTGTATGTGGCGTCCTTTCCCGACTGCGAGGCCATCGGGGTCGACGCCTTTCGGCAGGACTGGTCGAGGTGGGGATCCTGTACCTCTTTCCCCCAGTTCAGCTGTTGCTCCAGGTCCCGACTCCCTTAGAGACTTACCAGGGGAGAGTTATCCTCTTGGCCTCTTGGTGGCCGGCCCAGCCGTGGTTTCAGGCACTGCTTGCTCGGTGTCAGAACCCGGAGGTTTTTCCGCGGCTCCGCCTCTTCCAACAGATCGGCCCGGTACGTCACGTGGCTGGTTCGATCTTCTCGAGTCTTCGCGTATGGTATTTTTTACTCGAGTTTATCATCATCTCTATGGTGATCAGGTGGCTTCCTTATTAGTGTCCCACCTGCGGGCTTCGTCTCGGCAGCAGTATGAAGTTTCCTGGCGGTCCTTCCGGTTCTTCTTACGTCTTCGTCGTTGTACTTCCCTTTCTGTTAGGGTGGTGTTGTCCTTTCTCTCTTGGTTGTTCCAGGACCATCTTCGTATGCCTAACACTGTCGCCTCATATCGTGCGGCGCTGGCGGAGCCGCTTCAGCTTGCTTTCGGTATTGATGTCACGTCTGCGCCGTTTCGCAAACTGTCTCGGGTGTTGTTTCACCTCCGGCCTGCTCATGCGCCGCCTGAGCCGTCCTGGTCTTTGGACAGAGTGCTCTCTTTCTTCTCCTCGTTTTGTTGTGGCCCCCTAGGTTCCGGATTGTTTTTCAAAGGATCTTTTCCTGTTGGCATTGGCCTCTGGGGGTTGGGTGGGTGAGCTTTATGCTCTCCTCCGGCGCAGAGGTTTCTGCTCCTTCGGTCGGGGTGATCGTTTTGTTCGTCAGCAGCCTTCTCCTTCTTTTCTGGCGAAGAATGAAACTGCTGCGTTCCGGAGGGACCCTTGGGTTGTTGATGCTTGGTTGGTTCGGCCGGGGGTGCTTCATGTTTTGTGTCCAGTTGCGGCTCTCCGCCGTTATTTGCGCGCCACGGCTTCTGTGTCCGTGGATGCGCTTTGGGTTGATCCGGTTTCCCTTTTTCCCTGTTCGAGGGTGTGGGTCTTCCAGGTCGTCCGCAGGGTTATTAAGGCTAGCCAGCCTGCGTTATATCCGCGTGCCCATGACATCTGCAAGTTCGTGGCTCTTGCCGCCGTCTTTGGCAATATGTCCTGGGCTGACATTTGGGCGCAGTGATTTTGGCGCTCGAACAGGGTCTTGGCTGCTCATTACCTTGTAAATGTTCCTGGGCCCGGTCGGGCCTGTGTTGCTTTGGGTCGGTGGATGCAGCCAGTTGTCTCGACTTCGGGTTGAGGAGTGAGCAGCAACCGCTTCCCGGGTAAGTCCCTATTCTTGCCTCTGTGGGTAGTTAGCTCCGGAGAGCCGTAGGGGCTCCCCCCAGAAAACCAGCTTTGAATGTAATGAAACGTCATTTTCTGGGTGAGTCCCGGAGGCTCCCCAGCATCCCTCCCTCTCTCCGGTCGGCATTTTTTTCACGTGTTTTTGACATCCAGCCTCAGAACTGGGGTGTGGATGGCCTGCGCGGTAGGTCTGGGGCTCCCCCTTACCCCTCCTTGGAAGGGGGGGCTGTGCAGACAGCGGCGCGACGAGAAATGACGTCATACCAGTTTGCTCGTTTTTGTTTGGGGAGTTCTATCCACTCGTTCGGCTTTTGGTTGCAATTTTCACCAGAATAGGGGTTTGTTTTGGGACGCCTACCTTTCTGGGTGCCTAACCCGGTCGATGGCAGACATAGAATGCTTCCAATTACACGGGGGTTTCTATAGGCCATTGCTCCCCTTGCTTCTCTAGAGGGGGCCCAGGTTCTGGCTCGTGGTCCCCGGTAGGCCCATAAGAACTCCATACACATGACTGATGCCAAAGTCTGACATTAGCATATCAGCCTAGTAAGCTCTGGGGAGCCTTCGGGACTCGCCCAGAAAATGGCGTTTCATTACATTCAACGCTGGGTTTTTGGTAATGTGTTTTGGGCCGATATATGAGCACTTGTGTTTTGGAAGTCTAACAGGATCTTGGCTACCAGGTATCTTGTCAATGTACCTGGTCCTCTGCAGCCTTGTTTTGCCTTGGAGCATCTGTCACGGCCATCGGTCTCGCCTTTGCATTGATACCTGTTGTACTTCCACCTTCCTGGTACGTCCCCTGTTTTTCCATTTTCTATGGGTAGCTGTCTTCAGGGAGACAATTGAGCTTCCCCAGAAAACCAGGGTTGAATGTAATAAAATACCAATTTCTGGGTGAGCCCCAGAGGCTCCATGACACCTTCCCTCCTTCCTTTCCTCCTTCCTTCCCTCCCTATGGTCGGCGGATTTTCATCATTCTAGACCAGACGAGTAACGGCCTGGCTGACTCGGGCCGGCTCCCTTCATCTCCTTAACAAGGGAGAGAGGAAGCTAACTAGTGGGGGGGGGGGCTGGTTTGACAAAGTTTTGGTTGTGTTTTCTTATTGAGGAAGTTCTTTTTATATTTTGAAGGTGTTGGTCTCATTTTTCAACCATGCAGTAATCTGGTTTGATTTGCCTACCTTTGTGGGTGCTTCCCTGGTTGATGGCAAGATGATAAACTATAAAAGTAAAGTGTACATGGGCCATTGCTCCATACACCTCTCTAAGGGGGCCAGGTTCTTGCTCATGGTCCCCAGTAGACAACAAAAACTGTGTGACTGATGACCAAGTAGTATAGCACTTAATCGGTAAGATAGCTTCAAGAAGCCTTTTGGGCTTGCCCAGAAATTGGTAAAATTACATTCAATGCTTTTTTTTTTTTTCTTTATCAGCATCTTTATGGCGAGTGGGTGGCTTCTTTGATGGTGTCCCACCTACATTCTGCATTTTGGCAGTAGTATTAAGTTTCGTGGTGCTCCTTTCACCACTTCCTTTCCCTTCATCGATGCTCTTTGGTTTCTGAGTGTGGTGTTCTCCTTTCTTGACTTTTCTTGATCAGTATTTCATAGCAAATACTGTCACCTCATATCCTACAGCATTGGCTGAGTCACTACAGCTCAGGCCCTGGCAGGTGGTGAGCTACCTCTCACCCCTCCCCTCAAATGAAAGGGGGAGGTGGTGGAGAAGTCACGCCATTGATGATAACATTGGTTACCTAAGTGTAGTTACAGGATGAGAGCTACGCTCGTGGTGTCCCATCTTCCCAGCACTCTTTGTCATATAACGCTTTGAAACTACTGACGGTCTTGGCCTCCACCACCTTCTCACCTAACTTGTTCCAACCGTCTACCACTCTGTTTGCGAAAGTGAATTTTCTTATACAGTATTTCTTCGGCACCTGTGTTTACCTAGTTTATATCTATGACCTCTTGTTCTTAAAGTTCCAGGTCTCAGGAAATCTTCCCTATCGATTTTATCAATTCCTGTTACTATTTTGTATGTAGTGATCATATCACCTCTTTTTCTTCTGTCTTCTAGTTTTGGCATATTTAATGCCTCTAACCTCTCCTCGTAGCTCTTGCCCTTCAGTTCTGGGAGCCACTTAGTAGCATGTCTTTGCACCTTTTCCAGTTTGTTGATGTGCTTCTTAAGATATGGGCACCACACAACTGCTGCATATTCTAGCTTTGGCCAGAATAGGTGGTGCAAACAAGCTTGTGCTAGTTCCAAGAGAATTTGATCATTTGTTTACAGTACATAACTGGGGGGTTCTTTTGGCTGATTTTGAGGCTTCTGTCTCTCTTTTTTTTTTTTTTTTTTTTTTTTTTTTTTTTGAGATATATACAAGAGTTGTTACATTCTTGTACAGCCACTAGTACGCGTAGCGTTTCGGGCAGGTCCCTGGAATACGATCCCCTGCCGCGAAGAATCGTTTTTTCATCCAAGTACACATTTTACTGTTGCGTTAAACAGAGGCTACAGTTAAGGAATTGTGCCCAGTAAATCCTCCCCTGCCAGGATACGAACCCATGACATAGCGCTCGCGGAACGCCAGGCGAGTGTCTTACCACTACACCACGGAGACTGCTTTTTGAATGCAGCAGTAGTTTGTTTTGACTCACTAACTTTCTGGTTGCCTTCCCTGGTAAGGTGGTGAAAATAAATGTCACCATTTCCTGTGCCTCTGTGAGGGGGCTGGGTTCTGGCTCTGGTCTCCGGTAGGCCTCTAGTACTCTATGGCTGATATGACCCAATAGATGGTAACCATCTTAGCTTCTGGGAGTCATCTGGGCTCACCCAGAAATTGGTGTTTCGTTACATTTAATGCTGGTTGAAAGTGGTGTATGACCTGCATGCCCGTTAGCACTTGGGCTGTGTTGTGCACCCCTTTTCTCCTGCCTGCCTGCCTGCCAAAGTTAGACATTTTAATACCTCCGGATTTATCAAGCAGGATATATTCCCATATAGGTTATTAAATCAAGTGGATACCATACTGTGTATGATTTCTACATTTTCAGGGGTAAATTAGTTCTTGACCAATTTTAGGCAGGTTGGTGATACTGTACTATATTTCTTTAATGTTACCATAATGTCTTAATTTGCTTTTAATGCCCCATTCACTTATAGCTATTATGCTAATATACTTGATTTTATTACAGCATAACTTGTTTTGTGATAACTGTCATTCACATGTCGCCATGGCTCTGAACTTAATGCACTATGATTCCTCTACGTCATGGAACATGGTGAAGGTCTGCTGTATGATAATGATTCATGGCCACTATGTCAGGTATGTATTTAATTGCACAAGTTGTCGCTTTTGTATTGCATATTTCCTGTTTGTTAATATTAGTGGTGTCAATAGATAAGTAGATTTTTATATTGAAATGTGTCAGCACTGTACTCTATTGATTAATATTGCTGGAGACTAGAAAAACACAACCTATTTCTCAACTACTTATGGATATATGTCATTAATTGAATTTTCCTCCAAGGACTCTATGTTGCATAAGAACATAAAAATGAATCTGCAAAACCTTTTGGTCCATAATAATTATGTAGAGGCACACCATATTTATGTACAACCACTTTCATTCATTATTTGTCTAACCAATACTTTCTGGGAGGAGCCCTTTGGTGGCTCCCTGATGCTATTTCGCTGAGAGGGCTCCCCACTACTCGCAGAGTAGTCTCACATCAGTCGCAGAGTTCTGTCTGGCCTCCCAGAGACCAGGGCTGTAACCTAGCCTCACAGAGGTGCAGAAAGCAGAAATGGTTATCATCATGCTCACTGAAAAAACATCCTGGAAATCAGTGAAGCTTTACAGACAACTACAAGGTTCATAGAAAATGAAGCATCTAAACTGCCAAATGACTTTGCAAGTGATTCATTCAGAACAATCGCTTCACTCAAAACTAGCTCAGATTTGTAGGTACCAATGGATGCCACCAGGCAGCCTGGAGCCCCCAGCCAGCTCTAAGGTCAGTCCTGTTGCTGATGTGGTTGAATCCAGAAGTGGATTCTTTGGGTCACTAACTATCGCAGCAGGTTCCTCCTCAGCTAATTTCCGGCCATCTTGAGGTTATCTTGAGATGATTTTGGGGCTTAGCATCCCTGCGGCCCGGTCCTCAACCAGGCCTCCTCTTTGTTATACACCCCCAGGAAGCAGCTCATAGCAGCTGTCTAACTCCCAGGTACCTATTTACTGCTAGGTGAACAGGGGGAAAAAAATTCTGCCCATTTGTTTCTGCCTCCACCGGGGATCTGTGTGCATTTAGGTCTCTAATCTCTCTGAGCCTGCTTCTTATCAGGAAGCTTACCAGGAGGCTCCAGCTTTAAGGGCAAGGTTTTTCTGTATTCAGGGTTCATGGCATGGTTGGTTCATTTGGATGCCCAGGAGTTGGCCCCTATGGTGTTTACAGACTTGGAAATGGAGGCATTGGTGAACTCCAGCTGGACACAGCCTGCACCTCATTTTCCTTTCCCTGCTTTTGGTCTTTCCCTCTTCTCTTGGTTCTGGCTCCGAAGTGTCTGAGGGTTTCAGAGTTGGGCCAGGGTTTAGCTTGGGGTGTAGCTTGGCCTTCTCTAGGGGTGGCACCATTCACTTTGACATCAAAGGCAGTTAAGCTGTCTCTTCTCACCAGGAATGTGGAGCCTTTGCCTTCACACCCACTCACCAGCTCCAATCCTTCTCCTTGGGACAAAGTCTTTCTGTCCTAGGCGTTGGGCATTGAATACGACTCTGTTCCGAGGCCAACCATGATGGCCCCGTGGCCATCATTGGGGCCAGCCGATGATGGTTCATCAGGAAGCATGAGGAGGATGGGGCTGGGAGAAGCATGAAGAGGGTCCATGAGTGCCCTTCAACCCTTCTTGAGTGTTGATTCTTTTGCAGAGGATATTTTGCTCCATGTTGCATGACTTTCCAACTGTGTGGCAGTCTTTGCAGAAGATTTACCTATCTCTGGGCTAAATTCTTTGATTCCTTTCCAACTGCTTCCTGGTTGCTCATTTCCAGAACTACAGGGGCTTACTTTAGTTCTCTTGTGGGGTTCATATGCACGATGTGTCCAACACTCTTGCGGATGGGGTATCTCACTTCCGTCCCATTTCCACAGAGTGAACCATTGACAATGCCTCCTTCTATTGGCTTTGTGAGACATTTGGTCACCTAGAGATTGACCTCTTCATGTCAGCATGGAACCAATATCTTCCCCCATATGCGGCTCCATTCCCCGATCACAAGGCTCTTGCGGTAGATGCCTTTCGGCTGGACTGGTCAAGATCGGGGTTCATTTTCCTTTTTCCCCCCAGTTCAAGTATTGATCTGGTTCTGTCCAGACTATAGGCATATTTGGGCAAGAGTGATCCTTTTGGCTTCATGGTGACTGGCTAAGCCTTGGTTTCTGGCTCTTCTGGCCAAGTGTCTGAACTTGGATGTTTTTCAGTGGCACTGCATCTGTCAGCAGATTAACACAGTGATGTACCTCACTGGTTCGACCTCCTCTGCTCTGTTACCCCTCGTGTTACCCCCTGTGAGTGCTAATCAAGCACAATAAAAGGTGTATACTCCTTTCAACTTTATATATAAGGCATATAAGGTCCAAAACCATGGTGCGCCTCTCCCACAGTCAAGTGCGAATGCTGGGCACAGTTTTTAACGGACGACGCAGCATTGTGTCGTCACCATAAATCCGTCTACTAAATGAATGGTGCAATGCTGAGTAGTCGCCGAGCGAAAGTGTAAAGTAAGTAGCTGGGTTATTGATGTCCAACCTGCACTTCTCTTCATGGTGGCACTATTAAGTGGCCTGGCACTCCTTTCACCTCTTTGTCTTGTCATCATCTTTCACCGATGTCGGTTCTCGTGATTGTCATTTTTGTCGTGGTTGTTATTGGATTGGCATCTTATGATTAATACTGTCGCTTCTTATCATTCAGTGTTGGGAATGCCTCTGTTGCTTGCATTCTGCATTGCTGTGGCTTTGGTGGTGCTTTGCAAGTTGTCTTGTGTGTTGTCTCATCTGTGGCCAGCTCATGCTCCTGAGCAATCTTGGTCTCTTGACAAGGGTTGGTGTTTCTTTCATTCCCTTGGTTCGTGGTTGCCCGTTTTGTCTGGGATGTTTTTGTAGGCTTTTGCTTCTGGCTGCAGTGTTAGGGAGCTTCATGTTCTTCTCCATAGGAAGGGGGGGGGGGGTTCTGTTCTTTTGGTTCTAGTGGGCAGTTTGTTCAGGCGCAGCCGCCACTTTTTCTGGCATAGAATGAGTCGCCTGGCTTCCTGAGGGGTTCTTTGGTGATAGATACCTAGTTGGTCTGGTTGCAGTGCATCAGTTGGTGTATCCAGGGTAGCACCTTGATGCTACCAATGTGCATCCAATTCTGCTGATGACTCAACCCATCCTCTTAAAAATAACGTCACTTTTCGCTCGTATGCGCGCTATGGCCAAATTTGGACATAATTTGAAATGAAATCGACTCACAAAAGTGACGTACTGTCTCGTTTTCTGTTTGAGTCATCCAGCCTACTCGGACAGGTTAGGAGAGGAAACTTTCAATTAACGTTTTCCATAACGTTTTGAAACTTTATGAGAATTTCCTGCCCACCTAACCTATCAAAGGACCCTTAACTTACTGTTGTTGAAAAAAAAAATCCCAAATTTATATGCATTTTTTTTCATTTTCAAATTACGTCCACTTTTGGCCATACGGGTAAACGGCCAAAAGCGACGTTATTTTTAAGAGGACAGGTTGGATGACTGCCTAGTTGGTTGACCCTGTTTCCTTGGTTCCCCCCCGTTACAAGGATCGTATTACAGTATGTACTCAGGTTGTTCGCAGTATCATCAAAGCTAGCCAGCTTGCAGTGTACCTTTGTGCCCATGTTGTTTGTAAATATTCTGCATTGGATGCTGTCTTCTCTAATATGTTATAGGTTGATATTCACACTCTGAGATCTAGCAGGGTCTTTGTGGCTTGGTATTTGGTCAATGTTCCTGGTCCCAGTCAGTCTTATGCTGCTCTGGGCTGGGTTTCCTGTCCCCACAGTCTCTTCTTCTTCATCCTAATACCTGCCTTCATTCTTCCTCCAGAATGTACCATGTTTTCCTTCTCTGTGATTAGCTTCAGAGAGCCACCAAGGGGCTCCTCCCAGAAAACTAGCATTGAATGTAATGAAATGCCTCTCTCTGGTAGAGCCCAGCTAGCTCCTTCTTTACCAGGTTCTTACCAGGTTCATCAGTTCATTGTGCATCAACTCCCAACTGACCTTGTGGCCAGCCAGTTGTTGGCTTAGGATTCCAGACCACCTGGTGGAAGCCATTGGTACTATTGGGTTCAAGATAGTTAATTTAATTTTAATTTTGCCTTGAGGGGCAGGGCAAAAAGGGGCGCCTGACAGCTGAGTGGACAGCGCTTCGGATTCGTGGTCCTGAGGTTCCGGGTTCAATCCCTGGTGGAGGTGGAGATAAATGGGCAAAATGTTTCTTTCACCCTGATGCCCCTGTTACCTAGCAGTAAATAGGTACCTGGGAGTTAGACAGCTGCTACGGGCTCCTTCCTGGGTGGGGGGGGGGTAACAAAAAGGAGTACTGGTCGAGGATCGGGCCATGAGGACGCTAAGCCCCGAAATTATCTCAAGATAACCTCAAGAGGGGCGAGTTTATTGGGCAGCACAATTCTTACTGTGAGTGGGCAAACTGCCAAACCAGCATGTACAACACCCCCCAATAGGAAGAAAACCCACTGGGTTGTTCATCCTGTCAATTGTACCCAGACACAGCTGGGACTTGCTTAGCTGTCTCAAGTGAACTCAAGATTAACATTTGTCAACCCTTAAAATCTTACATTCTCTTGCTTGTGCAAAATGGGGGAATCTTTTTAAGAACAGTATCTATACTTGACAAATAGTACTTTCCTAACTCAAACAATGTGGGTTTATCATCCTATAAAATGACCCTCCAGCCCAAATTTTGACATTTGTAACCCAAAAGGAAACAGGGTGGGATAGTCTTCTACTGCAGGAGTAGATATTGCTTAATTTTCTTGTTGCATGCTTAGTGGTGGGGCTACAACCTCAAATGCAGGGAAGTTTCATGGAAATCATATACCAAAAACAGAATTACAGACCCCATGGAAACAATGCATTGCTATTTGTATAAAATTAAATAAGGACACATTACCATATTTGAAAAGTTTATTTGATAATGTAATTTGTCATTAATTTTTGTATGTCCAGTGTATCAATGACTATGCTGACCTGACTAGAGCATAATGGGAACAACATCAGTTAC